CTTTTTCCATCATATCATTTGATTCCTGTCTCCGCGTGAACAATGTGTGTTTTTAAATTGTTACACTTTTCAATTTTGCAAATGTGATCGTAATCAAGCCGTAGAGATCTCTGACAGACAGTTTGGATAATTCATCTGTTTAGGGTTTGCCTTTTGGTCAAAAGATAAAAGAGACATGGCACCAGGTTCTGATATACTTCAGTATAGTAGACATGAAGTCCTACTTCTGTTCCTCTCATTTTTCGTTCAGTTTTTCAGCCCCTATTTTTCCGTTCATGAGTTTGACTCTTACTATATTTGCTGTTTTTGCAGTCGGTTCTGTCGACCTGGGTGATTCCGGTCTGGTAGCGTTTTCAGTATCACATGATTTTTAGTACCATTATTATGTGTGGGTCCACATTTTTTGCTGTCAATGCCATCATGATCTAATTCATTCCTTGTTTGATCAGCTAGCGAGTATCCACTTAAGCCGTTGCCCAGTATACCTGAGTTTGGTGATCCGTTTTGTATTCTTGATTTGCAAATGCTGCTGGTTGTGCCATGTAATTTTTACTGAGTGAACAAATATTGGTCGTTATGTTCATTTTATCTTGAATTATATTATACTATGATGATGCAAGATTTATCAAGAATCTCGATCCATATCATAGCATGATGAATCCAAAAATTGGCATACAGTCAGATTCTTCTGTTGATCTGGATCTTGACTGAACTCATACAACAAATCATTCAATTCCAGGCGTTCTGGCTATTGCCGCAGCAGTAAAATTTCTCAAAGATAAAAACTGGCAAAACTTTGCCAAAAACTGAAGAGGAACTTAAAAAAACGCTTTCTGAAATTCAAAAAATACGGAATATTATTTTGAATTCTCAACCAATTTTGCAGTAGTTTTCATCTAGTTCGTCTAAAAGTTTTTCAATTTTTGACTTTGCTGCAAAACATTAATAAAAAGCTCGAGAATTTTTTTCAACTCTTGAGGGTTTTAAAAAAATCAAAAATCAGTGATATTTTTTCCAGACGTATGTTTTTCAGGTTCTTCTAACGCGGGGAACTGGGTGTGTTTCGATCGTGCTCGAGGTATGTTTCGACTGTGCTTGGCCATACTAGACTGTGCTTGAAGTATGTTTCGACTGTTTGAGGTATGTTTCGACCAGGTTCCAACTCACATTAATCAAAACGGTGTATTCTAAAGAAAGAGACCAATTCAACCATTGGAATGAAAAACTTAACCTTTTGAATGCTTTGAAAAGATTGATTACCATTAGAGAAAGAAAAACAATCTCAAATTGGGATTGGAAGACACCGTTTTCCAAAGTTTTAGAGATTAAAGATAAAGGGTTACTGTGAGAAAAAATTGATTGTGGCTCCAAGTACGGGCCTGCGGTTTTCATAACGGTGAATTAAATTGAATGATGTTTGAAGATGATTTTGGATTAAAAGAAGAACTTTATCTATAGTTCTAAGAAAATAACAGGCTAAGAGCGTGTGGTACTAGAGGGGTGGTATTTAGGAGTAATAGGTTCCGATATACCAACTGTTGAGTTTTTGTTGGAGCGAGGTTAAATATAAGTTTTTTAAAAGTACAGTAAACAAGTATTATACCTGAACCAAGAAAATGGGTGTTCACTGGTGAATGCTCGGATTAAAAAAATCTTGAAGACAAAAAACCAGGCAACCATGGATTAAAAACTGTAAAACTTAAAAATAATTGAGACAGAATGAAAAATTTGAGGAAAGTTTTTATTTAATCATATTTATTATTCTCATTATAATAAATTTATATATATTCTCATATTTAATCAGTTTTGAGGTCCCATTTGAGTTGTAAAAAAAACTTAAGATTTTCATATCATTTTATGTTTTCAAACTAAAATTTTGAGACAAAAAGTTGCTTTAATTTTGAATTGAAATGAAAAACAAGCTGATTTACAACACAGATTGAACCAGAAAAACTTGCCCATAAGTTGGCAAATTATCTGTTAAACAACAAAAAAAAACTTTTTTCTTGCGCGGCTTTTGAATAAAATCATGTTTGTTATAAGTGTCGTGAGGGAGAAATCCTCGCTTGGACTTTGCGTAAGGTTACTGATGTAACTGTCAGGATTTTCAGGGACTTTCATAATCAAAGCAATAACTAGAAGAACTCCAAAACATTATCTAAGTGAAAAGGTTGCGTGTACTGCCCTTATCAAGAAGAACTATTGCGAAGTCAGTTAACGGTTGGTTCTCGTAGTTAGTTAGAGAACCATTGGTACTGGGTTGCAGTATAGTTTGTTCTCAGAGTAAGTGGAACAATTGAGATAAATGGAGCCAGTTGTCTATCCACAAGTGCGACCATATTGCTGAAAATGCGGCTAAATGATTTTTACAGTCAGCTTGTAAGTGAAGATAACGAGGATAACGAGGATGACGAGTTTGTCAGTGATCAAGGAAATAATGATTTGTGTTCTTTCGGGAAAACCTGCTAGTGAGGTGATTGCAAGTTGGCAATTGTATTAAAAAAATTGCTACCCTTTTTTCTATTACGTTATTAAGATTATATTCTGGCCACTTGGAACCCTTTGTAATTGGATCTATATTTATCAGAATTTAATTACAGATGGAAAATGTTGCGTTTAAGAAGCGGACCAAACGGCTATAGGAGCAGTGATAAAAGGGGCACGCAATGTAGTTTGGTACAGAATAATTGCCACGAACTTAAATTTTTCGGGATTTTAGATAGTAGTACGTTTCAGTCGCCCCGCTGAATTCGCTACACACGGAACCACTTGGCTGTGCCTATAATTTTAAGAGCGAACAAGTCTAGAGAATCAAATCCTCTAAATCTACGCATTCAAGTAATCCGGCTGTCTGTTTCATTTTTTTTCTCCATACACTCATGTTCTACTACTCTGTACAGTCATGAAAGTTTTATCGACAACTGTTGTGATAATCATTGCGAGTTTTTTTTGTCAACTCCGACCTTGCCATGCGTCATTTTCAGACAATTCTGACCTAACTTGAACCGTTTTTGAACCACGGATTAACTATCACTTAATTCGATCTAGAATGAATTTTCGACAAACAAACTGTATGAACTCATTTTTCATGGGCCAAAAGGACAGGATCGGTTGTTAATTTCCTTTCAAAAAATTGCAATCGATGAACGGTTAGTTTTGCGGTAGGACTATTTAGTGGACAGCAATTTATTTGTGGAAAATCAAAAAGACAGATATGTTCCCACTCAGTTAGAGGCTTCTGATAAAAACTCCAAGAAATTGCACAAAAAACAAGCGGAAAAAATGAAAATTGAAATAATTTTGTGAGTTTCGAGCAAAAATTGACTGACCTATATTGTAAAAACATTGCTTTTAAAACAAACAGAGAAATTTGAAGTAATTTGGTAAAAAAAACTATCGCAAATTTTTAAATTTATTTTTAATATTACAATTTTTGTCCTCTGCTCTTCGCCGATGATTTGTGAAAAGCTACCAGGCTTGTCTAAGCATAGTCCTTTTCTACTTTTTTTTGAAATGTTCGATAAAGAATTTTAAGGCTTTCTTTTTAATTTTGGCGCAAATTACGTCCATGTAAATACAGTGAAAATATTTCAATTTTTGATTTCGGCTCTAAGTCTTAAAGTGTCAATGAATCCGGCTCGTGTTTTATCATTTCTCATTAAGACTCCCTTGCCAGCTTCATTTCTAAAACAATTTGTTCACAAATAAACTCAACTTCTTCGAAAATGGCATTGACTATAAGTTTTAGCCACTTGCTAAAGTCAGGGCTTAAAATTAAGTACCCAATTTTTGTATTTTCCGCCTAGTCGGACAATAATAACTATTATAAAATTTTAATTGTTCATTTAATGGTGTTGTTGATTAAGTGTGGGCATATGGGCAGAGTTCATCGAAAATTATGGTGTTTTATTCGATAATTTAAGGAATTATTTGCGATTTAGTTTGCATTATTTGAATGAATAGTACAAAACTAGAAGGTTAGAAGTCATAAATGGCAGGATTTACATACAACCTCGAGAGGAATAGAGTTAAGGTCATGACAAACATCAAACAGAAAATATTGGTTATATCGTCAATTTAGAGAAGCGATAAAAATTATCGACAGCACTTCATCGAAAAAAAAGTTATAAAAACAATTTATCGATAAATCAGAAGTTACTTTGATGACAATTTAGCGAAAACAAAAGAATGCCACATATTTTGAATGATTATTTACAACATCCGCTTGTTCCTGAAAAATGGATCGACTTTGAGGTGAGTTAGGTGCGAAATTCAAACTAGAATGGAACAAAAAAGCAATCAAAGATTCTGGCCAGAACTACTTCTTTGTAAAATCTTTAAATAAATAAAGCATGGATCTTTTCAAAATACTTTATATCCGATTTGATATAGGCAACAAACATTTCGGATTGTAGTTTTTACTTTAACTGAAAAGCTACAACGTTTTCACCCTGCTGATTTTTAAGCAATTATTAAATACTTACCAGTTTATGTTGAAAATCCTTAGTAAGGTATCAAAAAATAAAAAAGCTGTATGTATTGAGAGTTTCAAACTTAAGGAAATAGCTCATAAACTTGTAACAGGTCGCTAAAAACAAGCACTAAATAATTCAAAACAAAAAAGTTTAAGCTAGTTATATTTGTTATTGTTTGGCAAAAATTAACTCAATTAATTCGACTGCTGATCAAAAGCCTTACTTTTTAATTGATAGTGGTGATATAAACTTATACATTTCCATATCTAAAATGCACCTACTTGGAAGATATTTTCAGAGCTTTTGCTCAATTCTTAATTCAACTAAATGCGAGAACTTAAAAATAACATTAAAAAACAAAAAAAGTTCTATTATACATTTTTAAAACATATACTTGCCTAGGTCGACCTTCTAATTATTGGTTCGGGTCCTGTTGGAGCCACATTTGCCCGGAAAATTCTTGACAACTCTCAGCTCAAAGTATTGATGGTAGATATCGGAGCTTGCTTGAGCCTCAAACCCGGAATGAACTTGAAAAATGCGGCATATTATCAGAAGGATATAAATCATTTCACGGATGTCGTCAAAGGCAATCTTCATAAACTCTCTGTGCCTCTTGAAAATTCAGTCGGGATGGTCCCTGATCCATTTTGCAACTCGCTTCCGTACGACAAGCAAGTCACTTACGGGATAGCCAATCAGAACCCAGATCAAGATCCGAGTAAGAATCTTTCGAGAGCCGTTGCAACTTACGCTGTCGGGGGAATGGGGACTCATTGGACCTGCTCGGTGCCTAGGACTCATCCGACTCTAGAGAGGTAGAATAGAACGAGGTGTTACGATAAACATTTACGTCCTAAGTATCAATTAAATCTCAGTTTCAATAGAGGTTCATCAAAATATGCACAACCCCGTACTGGATTTCCATGGATAAAAATCGAATAAATTTGAGTTTTTTTGTCAGTGTCTATAAAAATGGAAAATAACCAATTATAATCATTGCAATTCATTGCAATTCAATTATGATCGATTATTTTTCACTTTTATAGATAAAGACAAAGAAACTCAAGTATAATAGCTTTTTCTCATTATTTGAGACGGGAGTTTCAACGCACAAAAAAAGTTTTAAAACTAAAATGTAAACTACTTGTTCAATTTCAACTTTTGTTCTGAGCAGCTTTGATTTTTGTTACTGTTTTTATATTAGTCTAATTCTCAATTTTGTTCCTTTCAACAAGTAACAACTTTCTTAATTTATTTAGAATATTTGGGAAGACAAGGGGCAATATTGTAAGTAGACTGTCTTGCAGGATATCGTGTCCCATAAAAATCAATTGTTTTTGGCCAAAACTTTTCAACACTGGCATATTCCCGACTGTATGTTGAAAAAAAAATAAATAAAAAATCTGAACCAAAAATCTGAGCGATTTGTTTTGTTTGTTCAGATGTGGAGGGGGGAGAGGGGGGCAAAGGTTGGGGTAGGGGTTGCAAAATTTCCGCATTACTTATTCGATAAATGCAGAAAATTTTTGCAAAATTTTGCACGACGCAAAACAAAAATAAAATGAAAAAATCCATTTTTATTGATCTTAAACGAATTTAAATGAACTTTAAATTGATAAAAACTACGGATTGTAGTAGTTTTTTTTCTATTTTGTTGTCTGAGTGGAACATGTGAATCGATTGTTTTAATAACTTTTCAGACGACAAAAATCCATCCATTATAATTGATTTCTTTTCACTTTTCTTTGATGCGGGACGCCTTGAAATGCTTTAATCAGCAATCTATGAAACATCTATCAAAAAAATTTTCAGCTAAGAACGCTTCAGACTCATTGAAAAGTAGTCTAAGGTTTTGTCATGATACGAAAATGCTGTTCAAAAATCATTAAAGATGATCGCGAGACTCACCCAAAGCAGAAACTTATTTTCTCACGCTGAGTCCGCAGAGTAGGCTAGTTTCTGACGCAAATTTAGCAAAATGCAGGCAAATAATCAAATGATCAACAGATTTGAGATGTTCCTAAACTTTTTTTCTCACTCCATTTTTTGTTCCGACCAATCAAAATAAGGAAGAACGTTGTATTCGGGTGTGTTTTAGTTTCTTTTTTGTTTTCCAAGCAATATCTGGTACCGCAAATAATCATCGCAATGAGTCGAGTGATATAGCATAATAGAGCCCTCTCAGTCGGGATTCAAACAACATTGAAATATATGCAAAAAATAACTCAGTCGTGAGAAAAACCCGTTTGGAATTTTGATTTCTTGTTTATTTTCGACCCAACAAGGCCTAACAAGCTAACAATGCTAACAATAGCTTTTTATGCTCAAAAAAAGCCGTGAAAATTTAATTTTACTTGAGTAGGATTAGTTTTTGGAGTTTTTATTGCAAATTTGGGAAACAAAAACTTCAAAAATTTAAAACGTTTTAAATTTTTTTTATGATTGTTTCGTTTTTCAGTCATCTTTCTACACAAACTGTTTTCCAAATGGACTTTTTCTATGACTCTCGAATCTGCAGAGGTTATATTCAGTCGTTTAGATTTTATCACACCACGCAGAAAAAGAAAAAAACGAACCTAATTTGAAAAAAAATGTGCATTTTTCAAGACTAAAGTCGGAACATTCTTTACCACTTGCAATTTAACCGGCTGTCAATTTAACTAGAAAAGTAGTTAATTTACTCATTTTCAATAGTAAGAACAACATTTAATTTATTAGATTTGCTTAAGTCGATGTTTTCTCGAGACTGACAATCAAATTTATAGAATCTCTCTTCATTGGACCGATAAAATTATTTTCACAAAAAAAGAAAAAAAATTATCATATTTTGAATAGGTTGATTCTTGAGCTTCTATTAGCTGTTCACCCCGGCTATTTTAAAATTTTTAAAAGGATTTTTCTTTATATTTTTTCGTTAAAAGATTTTTTTGCCAAAGATTTTTTGCACTGCAATCTTGCTACTGGTTTTGTAAATCGCTAAAAGATGACTTTTCTGTTCAGGTCTAGTTTAATTTCAAACGAGGAGTGGGAAAGTCTCTATGAAGAGGCTGAGCGATATCTTATGATGACTCATAATGCCTTCAATCACTCCATCCGACAAACAGTAGTCAGGGAGAGCCTGCAACAGATACCTCTGCTGATAATTTGCCGTGGCTTAGGATGGGATTTTTTGATGACGGAGTCCCGAGTTCATATTTTTGAAGCCAAACCAAAAACTCATATCAATAGATTATGGCTCACAGTCATTTTTTCCCCAGTCATTTTTGCTCCAAAAACAGTCAATTCCGGGAACGACTGCTTTTAGGGCGAAAATGACTGGGTTTTTGGGGCGGAAAAGTCTGAGGCGGAAATGACTGGGGCGGAAATGTCTGGTCGTGATAGATTCTACTCACCTGCTGCATAGTTCCCCTTATATCATTACCCCCCTCTCTAACCCCCTTTCTCATCCCAACTCACAGATCACATTCAGGATTATCATTCTGATGTTCGGGAGTACGCAATAAAAGTAAAATCCACCCAATGGATCAATAGTTTGATCCAAAGATCCCAGCTCGCATCAGTTCCCACTCTTCTTATGTTTATATAATGTGGACAAACTGTCAAAGTATGAATGGTATCTCCTTGTGCAGGAATACGTAGAGCTGGTGGATCCCAACAACAAACCTCAAAATCTCCCCCTTAGCATTCACAGAAGCGAACAAAACTTCACGTTCTACAAATGGGGCTCGGCCGCATTCGTTCTTGGTGAATACGCAACGCAGTCAGCAGTCGACGATGCCGAGAATCCGGAAGAACAACCAATGGGATCCCGAAGATTCGTGATCAAGGAACAACATATTTGTCGACGTCTTGTTTTTAATGAAAATGAGCCGACAAAAATTCAGTACGCGGTGGTCGAGAACTTGTTGCATCGGACATTCATGAAGGTTCATGCTAAAAAGTTTGTAGTTTGTGGTGGTACTGTTTTGGGTGCGCAGCTACTGTATGCGTCTAATATTCGTCCACGAGCTTTGGGAAGGTTAGAAAAATTCTAGTTTTTTGTTTTTAGTACCAGTTTGATTTAGTACCCAAATTTTTAAATTGTTGAATCTAGATATTTTTTTTGTGTTAAGCTTGTCGACATATAGTTGTCGTCCAAATTCGAAATTCAACAGTGAAATATTTTGTAGATATTTAACAGAGAAGCATCTGGCTGTCTGCCAGGTTCTTCTGAGTTCAGATAAAATTGGGTCTATTCGGGATGATCCAAGGTTCAAACATGACCTTGAGAAGTATCATAAACTCCATCCAAAAGATCCAGTTCCAATTCCACTGGATGACCCAGATCCTCAATGCTGGATCCCAGTTAGTTCTGAACGACGTTGGCACTGTCAAATTCACCGGGATCCTTTTGCATTCGGAGAAACATCTTCAAATTTTGACCCGCGACTCATCGTCGATTTTCGATGGTACGGTCTGGTAAAACAAATCGCGGAGAACCGGGTCACGTTTTCAGACGAGAACAAAGATCTATTTGGCATGCCTCAGCCGACGTTTCATTTCGAGGAATCAGCTAAATTTGCAGACCAGAATCAAGACATGCTACGCGACATGGTACGCGCTACAAAAATTCTTGGCGATTATCTTCCTGGTAGCCATCCACAATTTATGCCACCCGGTACAACTCTACATATGCACGGGCATACTCGAGTAGGGGACGACCCGGAGACTTCAGTTGCCGACTCTTGCTCCAAAGTGTGGGGCACTGACAATCTGTGGATTGGGGGGTGCGGGTGTATTGATACGGCAATCGCGTGTAATACTACCCTGACAGCTTGCGCTCTGGCTATTAAGGCTGTGAAAGACAGTGTTTTGGTTTAAAATAAAGTTATTATGTCGAAATTTTGAGGAGTCGGTGTTGTCATGAATGATTACAAAAATTTACGTGAAAGCAAAAATTAATTCGTTTCGACAAAGATGATTATATTGTCTTTCTAGTGTTTTTGTTAATCATGTCTATTATCTGTCAAACAAGGCTTGCTTTTCAGCAGTGAAAAAATATACGTTTTTATCAGCAAAAAGGCTCGTGGCACTGAATGATGCGGCCGCCGATTAAAGAAGTCTCTCTTTTGTTATCCTTTTTAAACCACCGGCATTTTATTTCTATATTCAAAGGGTGGTACCCGGTTCGAGATGCTCGATTTTTGTTCAGACCAATTTTTGGTATGCTTCGACTTTCTCGACAAAATTGTGGTATGTTTCGACTTTTTCGACCCAACAGAAAGATTGTGCGACCTTGTTTGACCCAGTTCAGATATGTTTTTATCACTTTCTACCAAAATTCGATATGCTTTATTGTTCTCTTTTGGGCTGACCGAATTTTTTTTAAACTTTATTTGTTCGACTCCGTATAGGTATCTTTCGACCAAAAACTGGAATGTTTTGACTGTCTCGACTTTCTCGGCAAACTAGAAAAAACTTCCAAAACTTATTTGAGCTATCTAAGATTTGTTTCAACCGGCGTCACTAAAAAAACTTGCAATTTGATAAGCATGATTCAAATATTTATCGCTCAGCTCAGGTCCTTACAACTAAATTAAAGGAGCACTAAACTGCATTTGTTAAATTAACAAAAACAATGAATTCCGTCTGTTTGATCGAAAAATTTGTGTTCGTTCGACCTATGTTTCGACAGTTTCCCGACCAAGAATGGGCAATTTTCGTCCGTGCTCGATCTATGTTTCGACTTTCTCGACTTTCTTGAGTATAAATTAACAAGACTGCTCGTATCAGCGCGAAGCCCTGAATGTTCCGACTGCCTTTTAAGGTTTATGGAGCAGCAGTAATAACATAAAAAAGTTAAATGAAATTTGTGCATCCCCCCACACGCCATATAAAGTACAAAAAGAGAGATTTCGTTCCTTGTAACAAATCAATTATAGCAAATAAGCTTCGTTCAACTAATTTGGAACGATTTATAAGACGGATTAAATCTCCGCTTACGCGTTAATAGCGCGAATTATATTGCGCATTAATTGTCCCAAATTGGTCAAAATTACCAAAATGGCAATCTTTAAACCCTCATAACTTTACGAAAAATGATCACAGGTGAACTATCTTTTCAAATTTAAGCTCAGGACAACAATACCTTTTGAATGATATAAAAAAATTCCGTCAAAAATGGCTAGTTAAAAAGTCGAAATTTGTCTGAGGAAAAAAAAACCCCA